CCCCCCCCCCCCCACCCAACAATTAGAAGATGCTCACGCGCCATTTTTTTTTAAAATTCTACTTAACTGTGTTAATGACATTGATTGCATCGATTATTATCTTTTCAAAAACAAAATTGGAAAAAAAAATGTTACCCTCGACCCTCGACATGGTACCCTCGCCCTCGACATGGAACCCTCGACCCTCGACCCTCGACCCTCGACAAAAAGATAAACTCGGATGTGTCCAATGGACGATAACATAAAATAAACAGCTCTGAGCTCTCGCTAGGTGAAACTCTTTCTTTTTTCATCAACTGACAACTGTCCTTTGCATGCTAAATTTTGCTTGTCGGAAATAACGTAACCTCCATACCCAAGTTGGGAAGCTTCTAAATAAACAACAGAATCAAAGACTTGGGTTTTGTCAAAAAGGTCTCTACCATTCAGCTGACTCACGTTATTGTGCCAAAACTGTAGCTCATTCATAACCCTTGGGGAGAAGGAAATGAATGAATCCCAAGAGGCCCAAGTTTCTATGGCAAGGTACATTTGCCTAGTGTACAAATACACAGCGGAACCAATTGCTTTGTGCATAGATATTATGCGACCCGTAACTTCCGCTAAGCATCTAGCGTAACCTTGTTGGGGTTTGCGAGAACAGATGACATGGATTCCCTGAGATTGGACACCCTAGTGTCGGTTACATACAAGCAATTTTCAGACATATTAAGAACATGGCCTAACCAAGTCTGAATGAGGGATGGTTCCCAAACACACTTGTCTACACTTAGAAGAAAGCCTAATTTGGCGAGATCTGCTCTTACTGCTATGGCATTCGTGGAGGCAGACCCCTTGTAAGAATTGCCACGTAGGCCGTCATCTAAAAACATGCAAATTCTCCTGCCTGCACTTCTCCAATAATTAATCACGGGCTTCAACACTTTGCTGAATATGTAAGGTGCAGTAGACAAAACGAATGGTAGTACGTTAAAAACAAATTAGGATGGTTTGCCCTGGTATGGCCATTGAAACCCAAGGTAGGTCCTATGGCTGTCAAAAATCTCAACGTGATGATAAGCACTTTTGATGTTAAATGTATACAGGTAATATCCTTCCCCTAACAGTTGTTGAGCAGTACTGATGTCTTCGCATTTGAATTTGTACCTGAAAAGATGAGGATTTAGCTGTCTGAAGTCGAGCACAAGGCGTTTCTTCCCCTCGGCCCGTACGGACACAGTTAAAGGGTTCACTACCCATGGTTGACTGTGGGCAATTGAAATACAGTTGGCAGCTATGAGATCCTCTAGAGCCTTGGTGACAAAACAAGCATTATCCATGGCGGACTTGTTGTTCGCCAAAACGCATGACTCAGGAATAGTAAGCAGTGGTAATTTATAACCCTCTTTAATAACGCTCAGTACCGAGCTAGGGGACCCTATTTCCTCCCACGCTGAAAAATGAGATTTTAACCTTCCGCGAACACTTGCTTTACAACATTCCAGCTCCGAAAAATCTCCCTTCGCGGGTGTTGTAAAAATACAAGTATCTATGGGATCATCGAAAGGCTCTGAAAAATCGGAATTCCCTGACACGGATTCTATTCAGTGCAGCAGTCAGTTTTTCCTATTTAACACGGAATGATTTCATTGTTTTCAGTGTTCACCGTTCCAACTATAGGGAATAGGGAAAACGTGTAACGGTAGTCGTAGTCCGTAGTCATCCTATCTTAAATTCCCTAATGTACAGACAGAACTGTAAATAAAAAAGGATCTTGTTTACTGTGGGTAATGTCGACCGAGATATCGGTCGACATAGCGGTCGATATAGCGGTCGATATAGTGGTCGATATTTGGTCGGCAGTCGGTCGACAATCGGTCGACAGTCGGTCGATAGTCAGTCGATAGTTGGTCGACAGTCGGTCGACAGTCGGTCGATAGTCGGTCCATAGTCGGTCGATGGTCGGTCGATAGTGAGATAGACTATCGGCCGAGTATCGGTCGATATTTCGACGACGCATCTCGACTTACTATCGGTCATATGTCGGTGATATATCGGTCAACTGTCGGTGGTATATCAGTCAACTTTCGGTGGTATATCAACCAATCAATCGATCGTCAATCAATCAATCAATCAACCAATCAATAATGAATCAATTAGTCAATTAATCAATCAACCAACCATATTCAATCAACCAATCATTCAATCAATCAATCACTTTCTCGATCGGTACATGAATGAATGAGTCAAAAGGGAAGGCCACGTGGTCGGCCCCAAGATGTTTTTTGAGAAAGTTTCATTCGCTCAGGAAAATAAGAAATCGCGGAGATCATAACGCGATAGCCGAAATGATCTCACTGCCGAGCGCCAGCCATAGCTCGGCGACAGAATGTTTGAGCAACATCAAACTGAATATCTACATCATTTCCTGTACTGTTGTTCGCGTGACTCCCGGGGGACCTACTGCCTTTGAAAGCCAATGAAATGAGGGTAAATCCAACTCATACCTTTCTTGTAGATTTTTGTGCGTTTGTGGTTTGAATTTAACTCTGCAGAGGAGGAGCAGGTAGTTTTATCAATGTGGTGTTGCTGTAATCTACGACCGGAGTTGGTACATAAACAAAATCATTTACCTTTCGAGAATATGAAACACGCAGACTACGAGTTCAACCGACACAACTGGATGATCAACGAGCCCTGGGGGGAGCGAAACATGACGCCCTATTATTAGTAAACCCTTTATTTTTTTGTATTATCTTTGATCTATATAAGCAGGAGCCTATTTGGGCAAGCACCGGCGGTGATAGTGGATCAGTCCCCGTGACTTAGTGCTTCTACATGTATTGATATCTCTCAACAGGATTATAAGTCAGTATTTGTCAAATGACAGGTCGCTCCATGTGAGGGAATCTGGAATACATCTCAAGGAATCCGGGATCCTACTAAGGATTGGAATCCAGAATCCAAGTTCCACTGACAAAGACTGGAATCAAGTACCTCGAATCCGGAATCCACGGCATGTAATCGAAAATCCAAGACTGTCTTGGCTTCCCTTACATGGGGCTTGACATGGAGGCAGGGTCAAGGCTCTCTTAGAAGCAATGCTTAAAACGGAACTACCCACAAAAAAAGTAAAACTTCTACTCAAAGCCTGCTTAAACGATTCAAGGTTATTTCGGTTGTACTTTTTAAACCCTTTAAACATTAATATCAAAATTAAGATTCTCATTTATCGTACCAAGAGAGATCATTCTCTCTTGATCGTACTTACTACTTTTTCAATAGAAATAGTGGAGAGAATTTGTTGAAATATCAATTAGACTCATCTTCCTTGATTCATGTACTCAATTCTCATGACCACCCTCTCTTCTAAAGCGTTGATATTATAAGGAGAAATTTCATGCTGATCACTCTTAGGGCTTAAAGGGTTAAATAGGAAGTCAGTAATTGTTTGGTTTTGCGCCTCAGAAAGGGTATCGACTGACAATTTTTTATCTTTTAAGGGTTTAAGATCCTTCTTGACAAAAACCATTTCTAAACTGACAGGATCACATCACATCCAATCACCTTTAATAACCTCGGATTTACAGTGTGGCTCTAGAAGCTAATATCCCCGAGACGAAGAAAAAAATAATAAATTATAGTAATAATAATCCTAAAAGCAAAGAAATAGAAAATATAAGACTAAAAGAAAAAGAATTTAACTACCTATTACTTGTAATAATATCTTTGTTTATCAAATAGACGAAATTTTCGCACTTTGAATTTGGACTCCCTAAGCAATGCCATAGACCTCAGGTCCTCAGGGAGTCCACTTCATGCTCCGGCAATTGTGCCATCAAGAGCCATAATTAAAACAACCGAGGGCTACTAAAAAAACAAAGTTCGCCTCCTATATTCAGTTTACACTCTTCTCGTCTTCATAAATTCCCTGCTAGCAAAAGGCTTCTACTAGCAGGGAACTTCACAAACATGTTTTTTCTACAGGAGATCAAAATCTCAAAGCTTTGTTATAATCTATGCAAGGTCCATTGCAATTTACTACTTGATTCAAACGCCTTTAACTCTCCTGACTTATTCTAGAATCGAACCTGAAGGAAAGATAATCGCTGATAGACAACCATAACAACCATTATTTGTAACTATTTGTACTCTGTTGTCTATCGATACAATTGACGTCACCAATAAATTCGTTAGAAATGAAAATTACAGTACTTCTATTGTCTTGAAAAAAAATTTGGTTAAACTTAAAAATTTCAGAATATATTTGGCCAAATGGATTGAAACAGACCTGGAAAACACGCCATTTGGTAACTGGCCAACGCCTGTCTTTTCGCATTTTAACTGCCGCCTTGTGCAGTGATACTTAGGGAGCTTGTAAACAGTGAACATAGTCTTCAAATTTATTGCTGTACCTACGTCTTAATGGTGTATGTCATAGCCACGATCTGCACTATCAATGAATAACCTTACAACAGTGCTTCGTCAAATCAAAACTCTTCTTGTGTTGAATTTCGTTTTGACATCATTCACCACATCCACCGCATCCACAACAAACGCCACGTCCACCACAACCACAACAACCACCAAGACCAGCACAACCTCCACATCCACCACAACCGCCACAGCCTCCACAGCCTCCACAACCATCACAACCACCACAGCCACCAGAACCACCACGGCCACCACAGCCACTACAACCACCACGGACACAACAGCCGCTACAGCTACCACAGAAAAAAAGGGGACTGACTTAATACCCCTTCGAGCAACCAGCTCTGAATCATTACTACTTTTGTCGAATAATACTCAAACCGATCGCCCAGGAGAGCCTGGCTGTATTCAAGCTGGAGGAGGTACTTCGGAGATTTTTTCTTTAGGGTTAGAAGAATTGTTCTCTGAGGAGCGCTTTTTGGTCCTGGCTTCCTGTTAAAACTCCTACCCAATTCCAAACCTTTCAAACATTTGAATTCGACAGGCTTTCTAGGCGATACCCCAAAATTCAAAACCTTATTCCAGACTAGCTTTTGCGTCCCTTCTAATCGTATACATGATCTGAGTTACCTAGAAACTTTGAATTTCGTCAGTTTAAGATCACTAACCGCATCCACCGCAACTTCCACATGCACCGCATCCACCACAGCCACCACAGCCGCCACAGCCACCACAGCCACCACAACCACCACCACCACAGCCACCACAACCGCCACCTCCAACTGTGAACTTGATGTACGAGTTTGTTGGTACATAGTTGGCATGATAACCAGCAGCCACTACAAGCAACAGGTCTTCGTTGTGGATTCTGCGTGGTTTCTCGATCTGAGCATTTTCACCGACTGAAGGTGCAGTATAGCAGCCATTGTTCCCTTCTGGCGAGTAACAAGGTTGGCAGAGAAGGTGAAGAATGGCAATTGAAAACCCAAGTGCAATTGCCTCGGGAACATCTTGCACCTCTACTGGAAATGAGATTGCAGCGGTTTTTAGGTCAACATTAATCTTCTTCCTCTTTCCTAGAAGATATATGGAAAACTGGTTTCCGCATTTCTCAACTCGTTTCCACTCCTGCTTTTCAGTCAGGAAGAAGAACTTGACCGACAGACTTCCAGGCTGGCCTTTTGTTCCTGGCTTTCCCTTTATACCTGGTATTCCCTGACAGCTGGTGTCTCGCTAGTACCTGGTGTTCCTTTCGTTCCACTGACACCAGGTACACTAGGAACGCCTTTGACAATACCCTGCCATTTGCCGATGCAAATACCCCAGTCCTTGCTTCCTCTTATAAGCATAGCTCTTTCTCCTTCCTGCACGTCCAAAGTGCAGCATTTGTCTGGCTTTCTGACCTGACCACGCTTGGGAAGAACGTTTTCCTGGATTAGATACGCCACACCAACAACTCTTTGGGCTTTGTTGATAACCTGAACACACGAGAGCTGCAGTACTGCGGAGTGTATTACTCGACATCCAAACGCTGGTCGTCCGTGGGAATGAAACAGCAAATGGTCTGACATTTCGCACGGTGCCGTCGCTGATTGAAATAAGGAGACCGGTGAAAGGATTAACGTCGGGGACCTTAAAAGTTGAGCGGGATTTTCCACATTGCTGAATAGGTTTTGTGGTCTCACTTTGAAGGAGTAACCATCCTGCTTGGGTGGATGAGCTACGGTAGTAACTCGAACGTACTGATTATGATCAGGCATCTGCAACTCGTGGGTGACTGGTTGAAGCCTTAAAGGAACGCGATCAAGGTACTCCAGAAACTGGGAGTACCTAGCGCTGGCGTGATAAGGTGAGGAGCAAGACAGTTTCCGGTAAATCAGCACCTATTTTCAAAAGGGATTAAAAGGGTTGACAATGATACTCAAAGTAACATTTATAACATGACATAGCCGGACCAGGCTGCGCAGTGAGGGAAAACGGCAAAAAACAAAAATATAGGAAAAATATTTTCGCTCGCCGATTTTTTCAGTTCTTTTTTCTCCCAATGTGGAGCCTGGTCCCAGGCTAAACACAACATTGCTTTTATGTATTAAGAAAGAAGAAAGAAACAATAGTCATCATCCTTATTGTCATTACCCAGGGGTATAGATTCTTTAGACATAACCTAAGAACTCCGTTCCAGTCTGAGTGCCCATTCTTTCAACCGTGGAAAGTTTTCTACGAGCGATGTCATACCGCGTTGAAAACTGCTTTACGAAAATTTATCTTCCTTTCATTAGAGGCAATTTTTTAAAACTAAACTTTCGCTTGTACCCTATCTTAAACTAGGTGCCAAATTATGAATAAATCCACCACGGCATCATGCCCTCTCTGACAAAATCTTACCTTGAGTTCTTTGCTTTCCTTTGTGCTAAGAGTGAACTTAGCAACCGCTTTGGAACCATGAATTGTAGCAATGGGTCCTTTTACTTTCTTCTTAATGACTCGTTTACCGTTGATGACCTCGATTTCGACTGTGTATGATTTAGAGTTTGGAAGGCCTTCAACTTCAACACGAAGCAATTCCACAGTGTAAAGAAGTGACACCATCGAGGAGTACTCGGCAATGTCTGGATTTATATCATTCCCAATAGGTGGCTCTCCTCGAAACATGGCGCCATTTACCTCGAAAGGTATACCAGCAACTTTCCAAGTATCTCGCGTAGAGAGCTCTGATGAAAAAAGCTTCGACCCTGGTTGATGGTCATTTACTGAGTCGTCGTGGTTCAAGACCCTCCCAAGCAGTTTGAAGTGTCATGTCTGTAGACCAGCGGATTCACTTGATGGGCATGCCAGATAAGGTCAAAGTCATAGCATGGTACAAGAAAAGCATCTTGATTCTTTTGCTTGAAGAGCAGATGGTGCTTATACCTCTTAACTGCTTCACGCAAGAACGTCTTATCCGCGTAATGTGGCAGGGAAACTTGATAATAAAACACTCTTTGTCTTTGGCAAGCGCTCTTGATGTCATATTGAATTCTTGACTCGAAATCCTGAACGCATGTGACAGGGGCATTCAAATCTACTTCAAATGGTTCTTTGGGGTACTCTTGATTCCATAATGCCCTGGCTTTTTTTAGTCCCTTTTCTCGAGCTTTTCCTACAAGAATTCTGTGGTCGACTAAAACAGAGGCTATTTCATTGCAGTCCCTTTCGTAACTGAGAGGTGAAAGCATGTGTACATGCCATACCCAAGCAATGTCTAGAGGCGCTGCTAGGTCCACAGAGGGGTGCTGAGCTAGCAAAGGAAGCCAGAACAGTTCATACCTAAAGATCAGACATACGAGAAAATGAGGTTAACTCGTGTGCCGAACAAGATGAGGAGTCTTTTGAAGGATTTCTAAGATATAATTTCAGAAAAAAGCTCTTTTCCTCCTCTGTCTACAGTTTGGAAGAGTTGGTAAAAGTTTTAGATAATATCGCAAAAATGCAAGTATGGTTCGCGTAATAATTGGGAGCAAAAAACGTGTAAAATTATTTGGCTCTATGACAATTGATCACCAATCCCTCGTGTCAGAAGGAGGAAGTTCATTCGAATTTTGCAGATGCAATAAATGCAAAGAGTGTTTATTTACACATATATAATTAATGAATGAGAATGAGGTTGAGTAAGATGTGAGGATTTGTACAGATCGTCAAGGATTGTTCTTGGGGGAGGTGAAGTTCGAAGAAGAGCCTCCGAGATCTGCATATTTCTTAGCAACCTTTTCTCTTCGAAGACTTTCCTCAACCATCCATCGACAGTATTTTGTTGTATATTATGGCATTTCTTTCGTTAAGTTTCAGTCAGAAATTCGGCCATTTCGTCTTTTGCAGTAGTTCACTCAAGCATTAAATGCCAGGTTTGCAACGCTCTGCACAACTGAAGAAATTACTTGGAAACGAGGCTCTTGGGGCATTATACTATCTATAATAAGTAGTATGCCGTAAAATTCCGGTATAAGCCCCCCCCCTTCCCCTTATAAGCCCCCCCTGGTTATAGACCCATCTACTTGGAAACGAAAAAATTCATCCGGTTACAAGTCCGACCCGGATATCAGCCCCCCTCTAGTTTTCCTTCTTTTCTTAATATTAAGTACTCTCGCAGAACCCTGTACTACTTCAAACACAAAATTAGGAAAGATTGCGGAACAATAACTTAAATACTGTATTGTTAACATTTCTGACAATAACAGCAAAGATGAACTCTGAGCTTCCGGTTTGTCGCGTTCCGGTTACGTTCACGTTGTTAACTTTTGATTTTGCTCCTGAAATTGAAATGCCTTCGATTTATAATGAAGCTTGAAAGTTTAATTAAAAAATGTATTTTCATTAACACTGCTGTTGCTCATTTCGAGACGTTTTTTTTTTATTCCGCTTATAAGCCTTCCCGGATATAAGCCTGCCCGTTTATAAGCCCACCCAAAACCGCTTACGAATTTGTATAAGCCCAGGGCCTATAATCGGAATTTCACGGTATTGCTTGCATTTTCAAATTTTCTTATGGTCAACGCCAGCTGGGTATGGAGATCTAGTCAAGGGATTGGCCGATCAGAAACGGCGCGCTATAGGAATAACAGTCATGCTTGGGTTTTCGAACAAGATGTCTTTTGTCACTCATACGTGTTAATTCGTGTTCTTAACTTCGATTCGATTCGAAACACAGACGCGTACCTCCTGACAGCATTTTCAACATGTGGACCAGTGTAAAGACATGGGTTCTCATCAATTCAACAAGCCCCAAGAACTGTCGTTGAGCGAGGGCAGCCTCCACTAGATCGATACTTATCATACCTTCCATTTCACGGAGATTTGGTGATTTCATACAGGCCATCTTCCTGAAACGTAAAAAATGCATTGGTATAAAGAATAAAAATCTGAGTAGTTTTCGTTCATTATATAGTTGGATCAAAGAAAGACTATCGTCAACTCGTGGGAACGTTGTTTAGAAAATAATCAAATGGTTACCAACTCTGGTTTTCCCACATTAAACTGTAGGAAATGATAGAAACTCAGATGGTTTATCCATATACGTATTTAATGTACTATCTTTTCTCTGCAAACACTTTCTGTCGCCACTTGTCATAAAACCTCTCTGGATTTCTAGAGAACCATTCGTGTTGGACCATCGCTCTTCTGAAAATGACCGAGGATTGGAGAAGGAGCCTTAACAACAGAGAGTCAACCATGGCCGTAGCCGTTGATTAATCAAAGGCTTTTGACTCTATTAACCACAATCTTTTGTTAGCAAAGTTGAAAGCCTATGGTCTCTCTCAATCCGCCTTGAGTTTGATGACATCCGATCTACTGGGTCGTAAACAGAGGGTTTGTTTGCACGGTGTGTGCTCAAGTTATTCAGAGTTGAGGGCGGGGCTTCCACAAGGGTCCCTCCTCGAGCCACTGCTGTTCAATATATTCATTAATGACTTGAATTACGCCGTCCCGGACGTGTCTTTGAGATTATACGCTGATGACACGACCCTGTATGTATTAGATGTCTCGCCCATTGCCCTGCAATTTGTTTTGAACCAGGGTCTCAGCCGCCTGTCGGAGTGGTTTGATGCAAACTATTTGTTGATAAGCAACACCATCTCGAAAGCCCTTCCCCTGAACAAACTTCCCTCTATTAGAATCCTGGGTGTCGAACTTGATAGCATGTTAAATTTTATAGAGCATATTTCTAGTCAACTAAAAAAGGCGTACGTGAGGACCGGCGCACTTAGGAGAATTAGGCGTTTTGTACCTATGGACGTTATGCTAGCATTATACAATTCTTTCATTTTACCAGATCTATAGAATACTGTAGTCCCCTCCTGTCAGGGGTGGGGATAGCCTGCGTAGAAAGCGTTTTCGTGCAGTTTAGGAGCAAAGAACGAGACCGCGCGAAAAATGGCGTAAGTAAAAGAGCGGACAGGGGGTGGGGAAGAAAGGAAGGAAACGCTTGCAGATAAACCCCTCGATTTTGAAAACCGCCCACTTGGCCTGTCATGCCTGAGTTCGCGCACCGACATTTGATGCTGTCATCAGCTGTCATAATTGACCAATAAAATGTTTGGCTTTCAGTGGAGCGGAAATGAACTTCAGAGGACACGTATGTGAACTTAAAATATATACTTTTGTATTTTGTAACACGTGGACGGCGTTTATTTTGAAATATCAATGAATCTGAACGATCAATACAGGCTTTGGACATTTGTATTTTTAATCCGTCTAACAGTCTGCAAATCACCATCTCAGAGAATTCAACATCCCCCCAAAAACAGGAGGCACTTTGGAGAATAAATTAAACGATCTGAAACCCCTGTTTAGTCGCAAGAAGAGCCTTACCTTTCAAAAGAGGTCAAAGAAAATGTTCTTGCATTGGAGGGAAAATCTTGCCGACCAGAATGAACAACAACTTAACCACTGAAAAACCATCATCGATTGTTTATTACGACAGTGCTTTTTCATATGCTCCGAAATTGTAGGAACACACTCATTAGGCGCCTTTACCTAGATACAATCTCTTAACGCATCCCTATAACAACCACCCAAAATTTTAATGCAAGCTTTTACCGGTCTTAACGGCCAATCGTTGAAGTTGCCTGATGAGTGCATGTAGTCCTACAATTTCGGACCGTACGAAACAGCACTGTCGCAATAAACAATTATTACAATTATTGCAAGATAAATTCCAAATAAAGAAGATGAGATATATTATTTATTACACAGCATCAGTGTTTGTCGTAGGTTAATGACCTTAATCCTATCGAGTCTCTTTGGACAGAAAGACATACGCCCAGCCGTGCATACAAAAGCAAGGGAATCCAAGACAGTCTTGCATTCTGGATTCCACGCATTGGATTCTAGATAAGGCATTGGATTCCAGTTGGATTCCTTGAGCTCGATTCAGGATTCCTTAGGCAAATTTTTTCCTGATTCCTGAATCAGGATTCCCTTTTAAAGCGGACGAAAAGGTGAATTATGAAATTTGTTTACGTCAAGACTTTGCAAGACTTTGCTCTACATTCTTGTAGCAATACTTCTCTTTTAAATGTCCGTTTACGAGGCCTAAACCAACTGAGGTAAAAATAGTAAATTTGTCCTTGTTTCTATCACATGTTAATCCAACAATCTTCAAGTGCATCGCTGTCAATGTTTCAATTTCGGGATCGACGTTTTTCCATTGAATCATGGATACATGCAAATCGCGAAGAGGCACACAAATCAGCATTGACTGAATTAAAGCTGTCGCCACATCCACCCACCCCCAATCGAGATTTAATTCTTTTTTAACATGTGGATTAAACTCACTAACTTGTTACTAACTTTCTGCTGAAAAATCCTTTTGTCGATGGCGAATTTAACAAATCTAGCAAACTGAAGTTTTCCATGGTCACACTCCACCACCCCAGTCGATATAGCACAACATTTCTCAAACCGACTATAAACCCTGCACCCTGTTGTCATATCATTCGTAGTTCTCCGTTTCTTAATATGGGAAATTCTAGGATCAATGAAAAATTTAATTTAATCATCAATCCTTACCGATTTAAGCGGTTGGCATGTCGTCCAGCTGTTTACTTGCTTTTCAGCTTGCAGTTATTTTTAGAACGTCGCGGTTTGATTTCAACAAAAGGTTTTGACGCAAGCAA